GTTTCACACAGAAGAAGAATCCTTCGCCGAACGGGGGCTTGTGTCTCTCTGTCTTTAAAGATGGATTTAGATCGGTAATTCTCTTCTTGAGGAATGGAAACTCGTACATATTACATCCAAGAAACCAGTTCTTACCTCACGGAAAACAGTATTTCTCCACCACAAATATCAACCGATTAATGCTATTTAAATATATTTTAACTGTTTATCCTAAGAATCATATCTAATCCATTAATACAACCTTTGAAAAAAAAATTAAGATCTACCAAATAACAAAATAAGTGGTACACATTTTACCCCATTCACATTTTAGATTACCTGCTGTAAACAATAAACATCTGAAGTATTGTCGTTAAATACGTCATAAGATACAAAGTAAATATCTTGTATAATATGTCTTTTCTTTATTCTTAATAACATATGTCTCCATAAATCTATAAAACATTCTATCAGGGTCACCCAAGACAAGACAGCCAATGTAATAAGTGGAGAACCTACTTCACAGTAAACCGACAATTGTAAAATACAAATTAATTACGGAATTCTGTGAAAACCTCAAATCTTACAAATAAAAATAACACTGAAAAAACACCCTGTCGGAATAATTGGCTTCAATGCTACCTAGATTCCACCCCTACAAATACGAGATAGGAGCCTTCACCCTGAGGCGCCCGTTAGTGGACCGCAAGATACGGAGTAATTTCTGCAATAACACGATAGTTAAGGTTTTAAAAAATTGTGAGTTATAGAAAAATCGAGTTATAAAAACAACTGATTCAACTTAAACCACTTGTCTCTAAACCAAATCTCCATAGTTGCCTATTTACCTCGTTGCCACGTTATATCCAAAATTAGCTCGCGTTCTGGAAATATTGTTTTATAATATTTCCATCGTGTTATATCCGAATCGCTTAATGAATGCATTATAACAAAATGTGTCTGAGGCTTATTATAGCATTTAATTTTGATGTATAATTTATTAAAATAGTGACGTAAATAAAGCGTTGAACTAGCTGCTCTTTACAACCTCTGGCGTCTGCCACAGAGGAACATGAAACGTGTTATTGAAAGTCTGACGGATGACAAGTGTTCCTCATTGTTTACCTCCGTCACTTTTAACAGTTTATTTTGAAAATGAGAGCGGTCCATTTCTACAGCTCAGCCAAGCATCTCTTTCAAAAGATAAGCCTTCTCAAACTGCGTTTTAAGTTACAATTTTCTATAAAGAAGGAAAAGGTGTCTAGGTAATTATGTTTCAGTGCAATTAAGATATGACAGAAACAAAATTTAATTATTGTAATTAATTCTGTTGGACGGGCATCTTTCAGGATTCATTTTGTATCTCACATCGTATTTTATTTCCTCAGATAGAATAAAGATAAACAAATTAGGCAACAAACCAACGAATCAATCAGCTTACGTCAAGAACGAGAGGAATGTATGCGGCAAGCAAAACTCACTGAATGCTAGGAATTTATTTTGGAGCCCGGATATTATACCATAACGAAATTCCAACTTTATGACAGCTGAAGCTGGATATTCACGAAATGCAGAAATTTGATATATGATCCGGAATCAGTTCCATCTGCATCCTATCTTCACAGTTTATCTATTGAAATACACGTTTTATTATTAATTTTGTCATTTACAACTAGCTTTACACAAATATTCCATTCCTTAATTTAACAACATTAACACAATTTGTCATTTTCTTCTGAGTTACCTTTTCATTAATGCTAAGTTATTTCTACTTAAAACAGTTGTTCCTTCTATTTCTTCTTCTTTTGTACCCAAACATTTAGTACAACACGTTCATATCCAATTCACATAAATCTGAATATTCTCAATCCCGTACATGTGACACTTTTATTTATTTCTTCCTAATTCCCCGTTATCAATAATATCAACATGGTTGCCGTGCGGTCTTCGCAGGACAGAGACAGCATATAATATAAACGTTACATCATAAAAATTGCACAGGCCTATTTAAAAAACGTGTACAACTTCTGCGTGACAATTCCACAGAGTTTATGCTAATATCTTGTTTCTGTCGTTCAGAAAGCCGAGATCTTGCTACTTACTGTTTGTGTAGGGGCGAACAGGTCGGGGAGTGTGGAGGGTGGTGTAGTATCCAGGGGAGAACGGCGTGCAGAACCCCGACGTAGACTCGCAACCAGGAGCATTCAGTCTGCAACATCGCAGCAGCGAACTTACACACTCCGAGCATGGTATATTGGGAGCTATCACTACCGAATCTGCAACACAGAAGTACAAAGGAAAATGGAACTTTCCATCTACCAGAGGTCTGCTGGTTTCTGTCCACAGTTCACTGCAGCCTCTACGTGTCATCTTACAAGTAAAGAATAGCTGTCTCCTGGGTTGTTGCGGTAGGGCGATGGCCTTAATGATAGATGCAGCAAGCACCTCTGAAACGTCGGTAAACTTCGACCAGACTACAGAAGACAGCCATATTTGTACTCACCGCCGTGAGAACCTGAAATCTCATCAATTTATGTTATTTGAACATATTTAATCTACGACGTAATGTGAACTATGCAACAAACTGCACCTACTATTGTTAGTTAAAGTTAAAATCTGATTTGGATCCATAAATATTTTCAGTAAGGAAATTTCATATACAGCCACACTTGGGAGTCTGTGAAGACTAGCAAACGAATTTCGCCGGTGAGTCACATTTAATTCTTTATATTCAAGTGGTAGCTATATGTACCACTTACTTTAACAATCAGTAACTCTGCATTTTGCCCACAAAGTGTATTTATGAGTTTCGTGTGGTTCTCAGTAAACAGCGATCACTACCCTTAACAGCATTAATAAATTGATCTTTATTATGGAGATGTGTTTCTTTGAGGTAAGAAATACATCTGTACATATAAATTAGACGACATCTAGTGCTGACATGAGATGAAAAATGCGTGGAACTGTACCTCTACTCCCCATACGCCATCATGACGTAGTGCTTTATAAAAAGGAAAACTTAACAAATAATCATATTTGGCCTGAAGAATACACTAACATGACGTGTGCGCACAGATATTTGAAAACAATCTTGCAGCTTTTTGGAGAAAAGTGTCACAAATATGCAAATAGCTATACGTTACTGGTTAGTCATCCTTGTAGGGCGACTGTCTTCTCATGACCTAGCTGCAATCTATCAGCCGTCTGGAAGCAAATGTTTTGATTCATTCCTATAAACTGGGACTAAAACACTTGATGCAGTACACAGCAGAGAGACTTTTCGTAATGTTTACACAGCGCTTTGTGTGCGAGGAGGCCCTTGGAAACAAATCAACCCAAAACATAGAAGATGGATGGCTGAAATTTACTGCACAAGCTGCTTCGCTCTTATAGCATTTGTGAAACATAGACGAACTCTCCACCCCACCCCCAACGATTCCCAGAAACGAGAGTTATAAATGCAAAAAGACGTGAACCACCTGCTGTGTTTTTAAATTCTTCGAATTCGATTCGCCTGCTTCAAGAGAAGATAAACCAGCAGTTCAATCTGGAGGTCTAATAATGAAACTTCCTCAATTAATTTGTAGTTTTAAGAGGAAATTCCTCGTCCCATTTAGAACGATCAAAGATAGCTGGAAAAACGGAATACGGTAAATCCACAAATTAACTTCGGAAACTGAGCATTCGGCGAGGAACTCTTTGTTGACAAAGAAACACCAAAATAAAGCCACTGAATAACAGACAACAGGCACACTCCTGATTTATCTTAAAATGAATACATCTACACTAATTGTTTACAATTCCATACGCAAAAATTTTTTGCAGCCTTTGTCTACAAACACAAGGTAACATGAAGATGGCTGTATTCTGAATTGTAGAGACATGTAATCTACAACCCAGAATACAGCCATCTTCCTGAGAGCCTCAAATTCTGCAAGGTAAATCCTATTACTTCGTGGAATTGAAACTAGAGCCTAACATCACCATAAAATTGTTTTTTTCCCTATTTTACAGATTGCGTAAAAGAACGCAGGCATAATAAGGACTTCCACATAACATTCCAGGACTTCTAAAGCACTTCTCCATCACCAATCAACTTCCGCATTGCCTCTCCAGGAATTCTCCGACACTTAATTTAGGACATATCCAGTATATCTCCTGGAATTTTCCAGGAGTTCTCCAGCACTCCTCCAGCACTTCTTCAGGACTTCTCCAGCACATCTCCAGGAAATCCACACGACCACAAAAAGAACAGACAAAAATTCTCCAGGACAACATAACCCATCGCCAAACAACACAACCCTATCTATCCTAACCTAAACAACCTTCCCTTACCTTACCTAACCTAACTAAACCAAACCTAACCCAAAACGAAACCTAATTTAATGTAACTTATCCCAATCAAACTTAAACGACTCGCAAACGATCAAACACACCACCGTTTAAGGACTTCCACATAACCTACCAGGACTTCTCCAGCTCTTCGCCATGAGCAAAGAACTTCCTCATAACCTCTCCAGGGCATCTCCGGCACTACTCTAGGATTTATCCGGGATTTCTCCATGGCTTTTCCAGGACCTCTCCAGTATTTCTCCAGAACTTATCCAGCACATATCCAGGACAACATAACCCATGGTCAAACAACACAACCCTATCTAACCTAACCTAAACAACCTAACCTTACCTTACCTAATGTAGCTAAACCTAACCTAACCCAAAACCAAACGTGGTACAATGCAATTGATCCCATTCAAATTTAAACGAATCCAAAATAACCGACCCGCAAACAACCAAACACACCACCGATTAAGGACTTCCACATAACCTTCCGGGACTTCTCCAGCACTTCTCCATGCGTAACGAACCTCCGCATAACCTCTCCAGGACTTCTTCGGCACTATTCTAGGAAGTATCCAGGATTTCTCCAGGACGTTTCCAGGAATTCTCCAGGAGTTCTCCAGATCATCCCCAAGACCACAAGATGAACAAGCAAAAATTCTCCACAACATAACCCATCGCAAAACAACACAAACTTATCTAACCTAAACTAAAAAACCAAACCTTTTCTTACCTAACCTAACCCAACCTAACCCAAAACGCAACCTAATTGAATGTAACTTATTCTAATCAAACTTAAAAGAATCCAAAATAATCGACCTGCATGGGACCAAAAACACAATTGATTAAGGATTTTCACAAAACATTCCAGGACTTCTCCAGCACATCTCCATGACCAAAGAACTTTTGCATAATCTCTCCAGGACTTCTCCGGCACTACTCGAGGACTTATCCAGGATTTCTCCAAGACTTTTCCAGGGCTTCTCCATCACTTCTCCAGGACAACCTAACACATCGTAAAACATCACAACCTTATCTAACCTAACCTAAAGAACTTAAACTTACCTGAACCAACCTAACCCAAAATTAAATCTAATTCATTGTATCTTATCGCAATCAAACTTAAACGAATCGAAAATAACCGACCAACATAGGATTAAATCCACATAAGGACTTTCACATAACCATCAGGACTTCTCCAACACTTCTCCAGGATTTCTTCAGCACATTTCCATAACCAATCAATTGCCGCATAAACTCTTCAGGGCTTCTCCTGGATAAGCAAGATTTCTCCAGACGTTTCCAGTAATTCTCCAGGACTTCTCCAGAACATCCAGATGAACACGCAAGAAATTCTCCAGGACATAATGTAACCCATCGTAGAACAACACAATCTTATCTAACTTAACCTAAACAACCTAACCTTACTTTACCTGACTAAACCTAACTTAACCTAACCCAACGTAAACCAAAGCATCGCAACCTAATCCAATGTAACTTATCCCAATCAAACTTAAACGAATCCAAAATAACCGACCCGCATAGGATGAAACCCACCACCGATTTGGTTACTTTTACTGACATCTGTAATGAAGGTAATGTAATTTAATTTTTTGGCGTATAAAAAGTGTAGTCTTTTATCTCGCAACTGAATGACTGGCTGTAAAAATAACAAGTCTTCGAAGTCCTTTGATGTAGAACAAGTAGTTCCAAATCATACGGGTTATAACAGTTTTAAACACAGTCATTTGTTTTATGCACTTATTTTTAGACACTACACCTTGAACTCTTAATTTGAAAGAAAATGAGTGCTTGCCAGCTGATTAAAAAGATTAGATAAAAAAGTAAAGCAACTAACAGATACATACAGAATACAGTTACTAGGGGTCCGCAGTGGCCACGCGGTCGCTAGGACCGTGGGTTCGAATCCCACTCACGCCATTGATGTCTCTCCGCGTTTTTCTATGTTGTGCTGTCCTGTGTACAGGTAGAGGCCTTGCGACGGGCCGATCCCTCGCCCAAGGAGTCCTACCGATTGTCTATAGATCAAGCCAACGAAAAAGTTGGGACCCGCAGTGCTCAGGCACTTGAAGAACGGGTCGTTCCCAGTACCCAGTATATATCTACTATGTGTAATTCAGTCTTGAGTAATTAGGCGAAAAGTTTTACAAAGTACATAAAATATAACTTATATTTTGGTACATTGGGTCCGCATTGTTTGTAGATTCTTCAACAGATCCCTTAAATATAAAATATACAAAATATACTATAATAATGCTGAGAAATGAAATTGGATCATTACATTGAGAGGACAGTGAACACAGGAGCTACATATAATCACGAAGTTCGCAACGTTCTTTAAGGGAAATGAGTCTTCGGGCTCCCATGTTAGAAATGGACGGATACATTTTAGCATCAAATCTTACACAACACATATAGAATTTCAAATCGAGGTTTTACGTATCCATAAACCTACAATAAACCGTAAAATAGTGTTCATCGAATTTCCCCAGGAGGCCAACTTACCCTGATACTGGTGTCTCCGAATGGTGGGGGATATTTCTTCAGACAGAATACGGTCCATGCCGAACTTCAGCTGCCGCGAACCAGGAGAGGATGAAGGCGCACTTTCATTGTTACGACCATCAGCGGAAGAAACTCTTCTTCCGGAAGGTGAAGTCTCTCGACATAATTTCGTGTCGATTAAATGAACACGATGATGACTTCCAGGGGAATCTTCCGAAGGACTGATACACCTCATCGGTCCTTCTGGATAGGTAGGACTTGTGTCACGTCTGGGACTGGAAGACGAAGGTATTCTGGCAGAGCTGCTGCTACTGCTGCTACTTCCACGTCTTCCTGTGGTTATAACAGGGACACAAGATGGCATTGGGCTCCTACTACGCCGGGTGTCCGGACTTCGACACGCAGGAGGAGCTCTTCGTATGGTCGGTACTACAATAGGGTAAGAAGGATACACCGTAGGAGGTCCTTTTCGAATTATGTCAGGAACTGGACTCTTATTCCGAGATACGACTAAAGTCGGGCTTGACTTTTCGCGAACACTACTGGACGAACACGGACTGGCACTTCTAATTCGAATACCAGAAGATGGCTCCACGGACGGAGTAGTACTTTCAGGATCAGGGCTTCTGCTCATGATTAAAATGTGACAACAGCGAAGAAAGGTATTTTTTGAACAGGCCTCAGAAACGCGGACTTCAGGGTTTGTGGATTCTGTCGCAGATCTCTTTTCAGCAGTTTTGTTAAAGCAGAGAATTAACTATGTCATATAGGTCAGATGTAACTGACTTGAAGTATATACGAGTATAATTACACCTAATAACAGAATGTAAATTTTATAGACTGATAATTCCATTAGAGACAGAAAAAGTAATAAGAATAAGTACAGGACCTACTTGTAAAATATTGGTTAAATTTAACATTCACAAAATTCAGACAGTAGTGATAGGGGTTCAGTAATATTCTAGCACTTCAAATGTAGTACAAGAATGAAGGCCTATTAAAAGAAATGTCTCAATGAAGAATTTAAACTTGTGGTTTATAATTGAACAAGCAAGGGTGATCCTTATACGATGTTATTATTAGCCTACAACAGATGTTTGACTTGTAGGTTGCACATAGAGTTTAATTACGTAGAGCGTGAAAATAATAAACTACTATAGGAAAGGCATTTCTGGCATTTCTGACATTTCCTAGATCTAACTTCAAAATACTTCTTTACAAGGCGGTCATTTGAACCGTATGTTCAGACAAAGACGGTATAAATACAGTCAATAGCAAACATGATTGGTTTTCAGCGGTTACGTACGGTCTTTAAAAATGAATATACAAAACAACAAAAGAACACTTAAAAAATTATATATCAAAGGCGAACACACAAGCCGTTCTGTCAATATAAATTGAATGGGACAATATGCAAGGGACGTCCTACAAAACACTTTCATTAATCCTTCGAAAATGTAACACGCCAGTAGTTGAATCAGTGATGATGATAACGGTAAAGGAATTGACACTTCTTAGAAACAAATGTCAGCAACTTTACCACTAATTTGCGCTGAATAATCAGATCACAGTAATAAAGAAACACTTGCATTGTTTGTACGTACACACGCAGACATAATTACACACTTTCCAACATAGTTTTCATAACTTTGCAACCTGAGAATGTGCATGTCCTTACACACGTCGACAATACCATAAAAAATAAATCCTAAATACAGATTCTGATACTTCCATTAACTGCATACTTCTTTCTTGTATTTATTGGAAACTGCTGTAAATTCACTAAGTTATTCCACGCCAAAACTTCCCATCTTCCATCACACACATGTAAAGTCACCCAGATGAAGACGCAACTCTATTACCATCAGATCTTTCTCAGAACTCCCAGCTTCCGAAATGTCTTAATAGGGAAAGGGCGGAGATTAAGGGGACCAATAGCATCCTCCAATTGGTAATTGCTCATTGGGAAATGGGCGGTGAATCTTCTGATGTGGGCGTGGAGAGAGCTCATCATTTTCTGAATGGCAATGCATAGGAAAGATGCCCTAGGCGAGATGCCTGTCGCGAGTGTAGACTGATGTAGGGTTTAAAGTGGTTGATTTTCAGACGACCATAAATTGAAAGTGTTGCTACTAAGTTGTATACATTTACAACGAGCAATGTGTTGTATCCAATAATAATACATCAAGGCTTGTTGTATGAGAAGACAAATAAACCAGCCGGTGTAGTAAGCCTGATGGTTGCTACTCATCAGCAGTTACTGCATACAAAGAATACTAACCGCAAGTTACAGTTTGCAGAAACACTGAACTAGGCATGCGTGGCCCTGTAGATGAAAGTGGGGTGCTTTCAGTCTTAACAACGAGTAATACCACATAAAAATAGCCTATGCTGCTTAAATTCTTTGACATTAAACCTCTATATATTTCCACCCGTGATTTATTTAATTACCAAACAATTCAGACATACAGGTAAACGTTACAAAAGGACTTATAAATCACAAGAATATATACGTGTTTTGGCTATGAGAAACGTTATTATACAGTTAAAGTATACAAACATACATATACAAAACAGACACTGAATAAAGTTAAATAAACTTTTAGATATATGAATAGATTCAAGAATTCTTACTAACACTACGCTGTATCTTCACTCTGCCAGTATGAGCTCAGAATACGAAGTGTGGGCACAGTTAACCCAATGAAACCAAAATAATAATTAAGAATTAAGCCCGTGCCGTATATAAAACACAGAACGTAACCATTACAAAGACCAACTATGCAACCCTGTTTAAGGAAATAATCACTGTTTACAGTGAGATCATACGAAACCAACAAATACATTTTGTGTGGACAAATACGTTGTTACTACAGAGACCTATCAACTGGCCTTCATATTAATTTAATTCTGATACACTACTTGTAACAGAAACATTAAAGTTATTTATCCTTCACATTATTAAATGTGTTAAGCTAAACACATATTCTTCAACATTCTTTATCTACCTTATGGTTCGTCCGTTCTACCACCAGCCACACATCAAAAGCATACAACATTTTAATCGAAACCCCTGAGGTAAAGAGACCACCCAGAAGACGTGGACGTAGATGGAAAGATAATATTAAAACAGATTTAGAGGGTGTGGAGGCTAGTTGAACAGGTTTATTCTGAAAACGATAAATTTCTTGGCCAGTTGACTGACTATCGTCTTCTCATGAAATTCTTATGCAGTCAGAATTATAAACCATGGACGAATCAAATACAAATGTTATGGCAGAGAATGAGATGGGCAGAGCATGTAGCGCGGATGGTGGAAATTGAGGAATGTACAGAAAATTTTGGTTAGCGTGCCTGAAGGGAAGCGACTATAAGGAGAACCTGGGTATATATGGGAGGATAATATTAAAATGAATTTTTGGTAAGTCGGGTTGGAGGACGTGGATTGGATTCACGTGGTGCACGATAGGGACAAGTGGGGGGGGGCTCTTCTGAAAACGGTAATGAACCTCCTGGTCTCATAAGATGTGGGAATTTTTTTGACTAGCTGAGGGTATTATTAGTTTATCAAAAGAGAATCTGCTCCACTGGGTTCATCAGATATGGCAAAAAAACTGTCGAGAGATTGTAAACGAAAGGTTTTTATTTTACTTCGATATGATTTCTGCTGTAATTCATGTTCGAGAGAATAGCACACTCATTCACGGATCAATTGAGTATGGAAATAAGACTATTTCAAGAGCATGGCGTGTTTCAGAAGTAACATTACTGGGTTTAATTTCATAATACAGTCACAGAATGGGCCATTTTTATAGGACGACAAAAACATCAATGAAGATGTTTACAAGAATCACAGAATGGGCCATTTCTATACGACGACAAAAAACATCAATGAAGATGTTTACAAGACTAACAAAACCACTACAAAGGGTTATAATCTACTACTTACGTGTTTTAAAAACAAAGCGATTATATCTGAGATTTGCTAATTGGTGTGTGTTTGACCCCAGACCGTTGCTACAACAAACTGCTGTCATGAGAGAGCAGATGAATGATTAGGTGATTTTATGTCGTTTTTCCATTCAACAGAGTATATCTAACCTTTGGGAGTCGCAACCATTTTATGGAGGGTCAGAGTTTATAAGGGACATGAGGTGTTTGTGAAGGAGTCTGACACTCACATTTCAGCCACTAAACGTCTTCAGCTTCATAAAAAAAAAACATCGTCGAACGAAAATGGTAAAAAAAATTCAGCGTATGCAACCTGCCACAGCGCTTTGCAGCTAGAAGAAGTGGTACAGTGTTCGTTGCTATGGCCGAAAATATGAGCTGGTTAGCACAGACCTATCCGGTTCGAATCATCTGTCCCACACGTAGATAATTATATCTTATCGGAGGAGGGACCATATGGGCCTATTTCAAAATGACCACGGACTGGAGATTCTCGTCAAAAGAAAACAGCAGTAATTAACAAACACTGCTTTCGTACAAACCAAAAAACACTGGCGTTTTCTAGGTAAGACACGAATCCAACAAAATCTTGAGTGGGCCTAATTCGACTTTCGAGAAAATAAGATCACGGGCAGGCCTATATGTTGTGGCAATTCTGAAACTTTAATTTACGTAAAAATTTAATATTTTATATGTATATTTCGTTTATTTTATAGCATCACAATAATTTATCTATTGCAAAAAAAATAATAAAACAAATATAGAGTTGTATAATTAACAAAAAAAATATGGCGGAGGGAGGGACTGAGTTTTTCGCAAATCGTACCATTTTCACCCATCAGGTACGTCACTGTCACGTGCGAAATTCTTGCTGCATTAGCCATGAAAAGACAATAGTCACGAGCTCATACGGCAAAGCCACAAAAATATTTCATATCAATTGTTTTGAACGTCCTAATTGAACTAAATATAGGCATACGCTACACGTAAATATTTAGTAGATACTGTTTGTAAAATTTGATCATGGAATCTCATGTTTCTGCTGATTGTTTCATTCATCATGTTTTGCATAAAAAGCTGGAAATATCGTAAGAGAAGCGAATTTTTTTTTTCATATCAACAACAGAAATATTGAAATACTTAAGAGACAATACACACTTCAGAATATCTGTTTATGTGACTCACTTCGTATAATCTTTACCTCTTAGGCAAATGGCCCCAAGGTGTCTCTTGTTTTATCTAAGGAAATTGCTTCCATCGTCCTTGTGCAAACATTTTAAACATTGGTAAACCAATATTTTTCAACAACCAAAGTGTAACAGAAAACAGGATACCGGAAATTTTCAGAGTTGTAATTAATAAAAAGTGTACAGTGAATACTGCTAACCACATTTTGCATTAATCCACATGAGTTAATCCCCCATCTACTTTATTTCTGGCACATAAGCAGTATTTAATAATCTACAATGAAGATGGTT